TTCCCGTCGCCTCACGGGCCGACCCCCCCCCCTTCCTTGCAGGGGATGAGCATCGCGGTGCTGGGGCCCACCTTCCCCAACCTGGCCGCCAACGTCCACAAGAACGTCAGCGACATCTACTACATCTTCGTGGGTCGCTCCTTGGGCTACCTGGGCGGGTCGGTGGTCGGCGGGGTGCTCTTCGACTGGATGAACGCCCACCTGCTCCTCGGTGAGTGCCGCCGCAGCCCCCCCTGAGGGAAATGGCTCCCTCAGAGCCCGGGCGGGTCGGGTTTCCCTTCTCCTTGGCCTGTCCGGGACAGCGGGGCCCGTGGTGCTGCTCCCCCGCGAACCACCGTTCCGTTTGGTTTTACCCGCACCCTGTGTCCCCGGGCGTTACAGCGTTATTTCCCGGGGGTTGGGTTTGCTGGGGGTGGTAACAGCGGTGGCTGGTTTTGAACTGATAAAACTGGCTTGAATTGACCGAAAGGTGCCTTTGGTTTGGACAGAAAAAGTACAACTGGATTTTATTTTTTTCCTCTTTGTATCAAGTAACGCGCTTAGTAGAGATCTTAAGAGTCATAGAATAGTTTAGGTTGGGAGGGACCTTAGAGATAATAAGTTCCAACCCCACTACCCTGGGCAGGGACACCTCCCACCAGACCAGGTTGCTCAAAGCCCCATCCAGCCTGGCCTTGAACCCCTCCAGGGATGGGGCAGCCACAGCTTCTCTGGGAGACCTGTTCCAGTGTCTCACCACTCTCACAGGAAAGAATTTCTTTCCTAATATCTAATCTAAATCTCCCCTCTTTCAGTTTAAAACTGTTACCCCTCATCTTATTGCTACACTCCCTGATCAAGAGTCCCTCCCCATCTCTCCTGTAGGCCCCCTCTAAGCACTGGAAGGGGCTATAAGGTCTCCCTGGAGCCTTCTCTTCTCCAGGCTGAACAACCTCAACTCTCTCAGCCTCTCTTCATAGCAGAGGTGCTCCAGCCCTCTGATCATCCTTATGGCCCTCCTGGACTCACTCCAACATGTCCATGTCATCTTCTAGGAACATACAGGCTTCTGCAATGTGACTATATGAAGAGCATAAACAAAACAGGGGAACCTGTGCTTTGGCTTTCATTTGCACACAGTGGAACCCCCCAGCAGTCATGCTGAGGTACATTTCTGTGGGGAGAGCTTTATAAAACCCTTCCTGTTCTTAAAGCTCAGCAGAAGTGATCATCTTTGTGTGCTGGACAAAAGTAGTGAGATTTTGATTGGAGGGCCTTAATCAAATTAGAACTTATTTAAAGTGGAAAAACAGTAAATACCACCTGTCATAGTGGAAACTTGCTGCTCAGTTCCTGCCCAGCTATGCAAATGTTTGAACTCTACAGGAACCACAGTTTATGATTTTCACAGTTTTCTGGACACACAGAAGCTCTCTCCTGTGTCCAACACATGAGACTTTACCTTCCATAATGGAAGTGAGTGTTGACTTTAAATAGTTTAGTGTTTGCTTCTTTTCCTGAAGTTACCAGACGAGACAGCTGGCTGTCAGCAGCGCTTGGAAAATGATTCATCTCCTGATCCTTTCCAATTTGGTTCTGCTTATGGCAAAAGCATAATTTGAACTACTGAACTTTCTCTCATTTCTGCCATCTGAAGGCTGCCTGTAAGAGATTTTGGTTCGTATAGTTTTACCTCCCATTTTTCGACTGCTGAAGCTCTGCTACTGCACAGAGGAAAAATTGAAGTCTTTGTCAAGGAAGCTTTTAAGTACCAATCTTCAGGTGAAGAGCTGAAGTGGACAAAGGAGAACTTGCTGAGAAGTTACTTTTCAGCTCTGAGTGGGGCCTCTGAGCAGTTGTATTTAATATCCCCATCCTCAGCTCTTTCTCTACACAGCTCAGCCTGGTAGCTTTCAAAAATGTTTTGAGGCGTGTATTCCGAGTATCTCACTGGGGCTTGAGGGTTCTGGATATTTATTTTTTCCATTGTTTTTGTTTGGAGTTAACCTAAGTTCTTAATTACATCAATCCCCATTGATCTTTAATTATCTGGCCCAGTAATAGAGATGTCTGAACTGGTACAAGCTTTCTAAAAAACTAATACTGTATATTCAAGATATTAATTGCAGGTTATTTTATTACGAAGGTGGTTATAAGTGTAGAGTTTAACTGCTGAACTTTCTCCCAAATTGTAATTAAAATAATTTCCATACCATTTCAAAAAAGTCTTTTTTAACAGATGTTGTAAGTGTAGTTAATAATAGCAAAACTAATACAGTTAATTAATTGCTGCTAAATTTATGATGAGCAGTTTTCTAGTTCTGTCTCGTAAAACTCCAGAAATCCCTTGGAGAACATCCCTTATGTGCACACAGAATATAAATGAAAGTCAGAATTTTTATATGGAGGTTGCTTGTTGGCCAAGGTGCAATCACTTTATAGGATTTAAAGAGTTCAGTGATTTGGGTTCTCTTAAAATGCAGCCAAATTTAATGCTCTGTAGTTCTCAGCAGGAAAACTTCATACTGTTCAAAAACATGTTTTACTTCTTCCGTGGCTGTCCTGGTTTGAGTGACATAGGACTAATTTCTCCTCTAATGCTTGGGAAGACTGCATTTTAGAAGACTCTGGTGTCTGAAGATGTGAAAATATTTGCTTTCTATTCAGCCATGGTATGCAGGTTTCAAGGTCTTGGTGTTTTCAAGCCTTGCCAGGTGCAGGGATGAGGAGGAGCAAGACCCCGGGCGCTTGATCCCAAACTGGGATTATTTCAAAGCATGAACATCCAATCCAATATAAATAACAAAGTTTGTGGAGAAGTTCTCTCTCTTCCTTGATGGCTGCCATCCTGTGAACTTCTTGCCCCGGTGCTGGACCCCTGAACCCTCCCTCCCTCCCTCCTTCCCCCCAAAGCTGTAGCGCTCTCAGCATCCGACATTTGCCATCCCCTGCTGGGAGTGCACGGCTTCCTGCTGATAGCACGGGCTAAGTATAATCCTTTGTAGTGGTGTTGGGACCAATACTGATTCTTTAGTGTTATTGATGTTAATTATCCAGTTTTATTCTATTTAACCTGTATATTTCAACCCTCAGGTTTCCTTGTTTTTTCCCGATTCCCCATCCCAGATGGGGAGGGGTCATCAGGTGATAGAATAATTGTCTAAGACAATAAATTTTTATGGATTTCTCAAACCATAGTGGTGGCAAAGTAATGTTTCTAGATCAGAAGTTTGCAGAGGATACTGAAGCAGCACTTCTAAATCAAAAGTTTGTAGAAAGACTTCTTCGTGTTCTAGCAGCAGATGCTACTCCCTTTGCAAACAAAGCTTTGGCAAAACAGGTTTTTCATGTAGTGTTTATATTCTGATGAAATTCCTTTTTTCCAAGTGAAAAATGATTCTGTTGAACTTTCTGGCTGCTTCTGCTAATCATGACTGGAGGTAATTAGGTTACATCACCTACTAGGATTATCACTGTAATAATGATTAATATATTTGTATTTCTTGGTCTTTTATATGTTTTGTAGTTTAAATGGAAATTATAGTATGTGGGTGTTTTATTTGTTTTGTTTTTTTAATTTTTCCAGCATTATCCATGTTGGGAACAACAGCTGGTCTTTATGGGATACCCTGGTGTGAGAAGTCCCTGCTGTTGACTGTCTTGATGTCAGTCATTGGAGCTTCCATGGGAATTCTAGACACAGGTAAGGCACCACGCGCTCTGGTAGTTCCTTCACCAAACTAACGGGAAACCTCAACCTCACCAAAAGCATTGCTGGTATTTTGTGTGACACATCTTGAATTAAAAGAGGGGACCTGTTTTACCTGGCTGGGATTCTTGAATTATTCTGGTCCTGAATAATTCAATAATTCAATAATTCCAGTGTTTGCGTCTCTGTAATGGGTCTTCCTTAAGGGACCTGAGGAGCTGGGGATCTTGTGCTTCCTGGAGAAGATCAAGACACATTTCAGTGGGCAATTACTGATGTAAAGAAAGTTTCCTGTGTTCTCTAGAGAGTGTTTTCTTTAAACTGCTCATCTACAGGGAGGTAGTTGGGTTACTGTTCATTGGTGCCAGCTGGAACTAAGTCCTGAGCAAGCCCTGGTGTTTGAGAGGGATTCTCACAACTGCTGTGTTGGAGAGTTGGCCACCTAAGCCTGGCCAGGTGTCACCAATGAGTGACTTTGGATCCTACACATCTTTGAGGTAGCAGCAATTTAAGATTTATTAGCATGTTTACGGTAAATCATGGGGTTAGGTTGTATTATATTTAAAAATATTAACAGAGTGATTTAACAAAATCTGGTATAATCAACACAGTGACTTAATTAGGGATTTGAGAATAGCAAGGTTCACATGAGACCTAGGACAGGGTTTCCTAAATCAAATAACACACACGGAGATACAGAGGTTAACCTATGGTTAGAAAAAAGAGATTTTTCTGCTTTTGCAAATTGTAATAAATTATTGGTTGCAAATGATCATTGAACCTGGAGGAATCTAATTGTAGTGAATTGCTCACTCTTCTCCTTTGTCGGCGTTCATCAGCAGATGATCTTTGAGCCCTTCTCCCTCATTGACATCTATCAGGAGCTGATCTTTGAACCTTGTCATATTTGCCCTGAGAGGCATCCCAGGTCAGGGGGGATCCTGGGTCACAGCTGCCATCCCGGGCAGCTCAGAGAGTCTTACTTAGGATCGCTATTTGTAGGATTGTGAGATGATAACTTTGGTCAGTGGTTTTCCATTTTTGGCCACAATTCTTGTCAGGTAATTCTGGCACCCTCCAGGTTGGGGTACGACATAGGCAGCAGGAGTTTCAGGTACGGTTTTTGGGAGTGCCACACCGTCCCAACTCACTGCACTTGTAGCAAGACAAGAAGAACACAATGTTGGGTTGCCTCGACATTGCAGTGTGGCCCAGGGGGGCTGCACCACCAGACCAGTCAGCATCTGGGGAGTCACAGCAGGCATTTACTGACACTGTTCACAGAACCATGTCATCCATCTCCCTGAATTAAGGAATATTTGCTGCCCTTGGATAGCCCTATTTCAGTGTTTGGGAATACAAATGTATTCTACACCCCAAATTGTAAGTCTGTGGCATGTGCACGCTGCAAACGGCCTGGAAAAAACACTTTTGCTGGAAACCTGTTGCAGATCAGTTTTTGTAGTAGAGGCTCCTTATTGGATGAAGATTTACGGGTGAAGTTGCAGAGCAAACATCTACAGGTGCAGTTGGAAAGGTCAGTTATACCAGAGGCATGAAAAAGACATTCCCACAGGAAGGAGATCCTTGGGCATGGCTTAGAGAGGAGGTGGCCATGGCTGCTGTAGCGGGCAGTTTGGGTCAGGAGGTGAGGCCGTGGCAAGAGACCTAAGCACGCTGAGAGCCACCTGGGTAACACCCGTGTCCGTGCAGATGGGGAGCAGCAAAGAACCAGGAATAGGTGAGTGATGGAGTGTCCTGGCATCGCTGTAGCAGGCCATGGTGAAGCTGCAATGGGCAGCCACTCACCAGGCACCTCTCCAGCAACCATCTGACTTTCCTGGCTTTACCGAGGCAGCCTGTGGTTACTCACTGCCCAGCAAGGTATGACTGGATCTGGTTGACCAGCTTCAGGGCAGGCTTATTCCTGAGTAAGAGCTGGCTAATGAAGTAGCCCGGTTGTCCAAACAGCTCTGGAAGCATCCCAGGAAGGGCCTGGTTTCGGTGGCTTGGCTGGTGGGGAGCATGGAGGAGCGATGGCCACATGTGTGACCCATCTGTCTGAGTTGTGTGGAGCTGGGGGAGCTCTGCTAGCGCTGCAGAGAGTGTGAGACGGTGAAAACGATGGTGTTGCAAGGCACAGGTTACCCTAAATAACCCGAATGCAGAGGTGTATTTGTTGCCTCTGGTAGGATCATTATATGTAGCACTTGGCTTAAAAATTCTTCATATGGGAAAATCCTGTCGGCTCATTGGAAAAGTGCCTTCGGGGGGCAGGTGTGCTGCTTGGAACTCAGACCCTTCAGGCGGGGAGACTTCCCAGCAGGAAAAGCCAAGAACAAGGCTGTAGAGTATAACAATTAATTTGGAGGAGCGTTAGTGCTGTGTGACGAGGGTTGCTGTGCTGTAGCACAGGAATTGAGTTACTCTTCTTATTTTCCTGCATTCTTCTCAGGCGCTGCTTAAAAATCGTCTCTCTGAGATGTCATTTTGTAGCATTGTTGTTGATCTGAGGGTGTTGTAGCTGGGTCTCTGCGGCGGTGTTATTGTAAATCTTTCTGCTTCTGGAAAATCATTTGAACGCAGTTGGGGTAGTCCCAGCCCATCAGAAGCAAGTGATGCTTGATGCTTCCTGGCAGGTTGCTTTAATGAGACCTCTGATTTTTAGCATTGTGCGTTGTAGCTTTTAAAACTTACAGAAATGAGTCGCAGTTAAATTTGCTCTTTTGAAGAAAGGCTGAAAAATGCTGCAAATTGTCAAGTAGAGTAATTAAGTCCAGGCATTGTGGCTGGATGAAGCCAGTGTGTGGCTCTTCACGGGGATTGTTGTGAATGCCCTCCTAATGCTCAAGTAGTCACGTGGGTTTCAGGTGCTTGCAGGCAGGATTTCAGTTAAGGACAATTTTGCACATTGTATTTGCTAAACCTGGTATTATTGCAAATTTAATTAATAATATACGTTGCAGTTTGGATTGTTCTGTACCTTCTAATTTTATTTTAACCCAGTATCTGTTTTCGGGCTGAGATGACCGAATCCTCCTCTCTCCCATCCGCAGGTGGCAATGTGCTGGTACTGAACACCTGGGGAGCGGAGGCTGGGCCACACATGCAGGCCTTGCACTTCAGTTTCGCCCTCGGTGCGTTCGTGGCTCCGATCCTGGCTAAAATGGCCTTGGGAGGCTCCAAATCTCAAGACCTTCCAGTAGCTGACCAGGCAAACCAGTCTGTCTGGAGGTCTGTGCCGACAGCACCGTCTGCGTCAGCTGCCTCAGCGCTGAAACACCATTTTGGTGCAGATTTTTTGTGGTCCTATGTTGTCATAGGGACCTATCTTCTGTTCGTTTCTTTCTTCTTTTTTATTTTGTATTCAAAGGGCGGCTCAGCTCGAGACAAATCCAAGGCTGCTTCGCAGAAAGGCATGTTTGCCAAGTACCACTATGCCCTGATTACTCTCCTGTTCATCTTCTTCCTCTTCTACGTGGGAGCGGAGGTCACCTACGGCTCCTACATATTCACTTACGCCAAGGTCTTCGCCGAGATGAAAGAAAACGAAGCAGCCGCTTTGAATTCCGTCTTCTGGGGCGCGTTTGCCGCCTGCCGAGCGGTGGCCATATTCTGCGCCGCTTGCTTGTACCCCGGCACCATGATCCTGCTGAGCATCATCGGCTCTGCCCTCTCCTCCTCCTGCTTGGCCTTCTTCGCCCGCTACCCGGCCTCCCTGTGGGTGGGGACTGCTGTGTACGGGGCGTCCATGGCCACCATCTTTCCCAGCGGCATTTCCTGGATAGAGCAGTACACGGTCGTGCAAGGGAAATCGGCTTCTCTCTTCGTGGTGGGCGCGGCGCTGGGGGAGATGTGCATTCCTGCCGCCGTGGGGTATCTCCAAGGGAGGTTCCACCACGTCCCAGTGGTGATGTACACCGCCCTGGTGACTTCTGCCATGACGTTTGTGCTCTTCCCGCTGATGTACAAGTTGGCCACCTCTCCCGCCGGGAGCGACCTGAAAGAAACGAGTGAGAGCGAGGACCGGAAAGCTTTGTTGTCAAACTCGGGGCTTAATGAGGATGAAGAGGATGAGGAGGATGCGGGGGAGTGGAACGAAGCAGACTTTGAGGTAATAGAAATGAATGACACGCTGAGAAACTCTGTGATAGAGACCTCCCGGAAGATCCCGGGGGACTCCGCGGCCACGGTCTCTCTCCAGCCCCCCCTGGACGATGCCTTGTCCGATTCTCCAGCAGTTGCCAGTGGCTCCCCTGGGAGAAAAAACGTGAGTGCTGACCGGGAGAAGAATGACTAAACTAAAAGCTGACTGAATTTTTTTTTCATTATTATTTTATTTTAAAGGGAAATGCAATTGAATTGCAGCCGTTCTCATAACGTGGTTCAAGAATCCTTTTATAGCGGCGCAGAGCTCAGCGCGTTCGTCTCTCTTTGTCCGGCCCTTTCTCCTCTCTCATTTCAATGGGCAGCGACGTGTCTCCAAGTGGCCGAGTCCACCGTGACGTGAACGGGGTAACGTGATAAGACACATAGACTATACCAAAAATGTTAAAACATACATAAGAGATGTTTTCTAAATGTGAGATGCACATTTAAGTACTATATGCTGTAATAAGAACTAACTAGGAAAGACGGGGACTGCTCCGACCACTCGGTGTTTTGGGGATGGGTGGAAGGGGCAGTTCTGAGGTGCTTCATCACAGCGTGTCCGCACGAGAGAGGAGAGAAATCTGTTCTCTGGGCTGCTGAGCTTGCTTATCTCCTGAAAGAAAAACGTTTCTCCTGTGTTGAAAGTTTGTGTGACGTAAACCGGGGAATCAAGTCACATTTCAGGTGATGTCCAGGGGCTGTAAATCACTTGGCCCGTTGGCAAACTCTATAATTTCCTGGTTCTGTCAGTAAGAGGAGAAAAAAAATTATAAATGAATTTTTAGGACTGGAACCATGCCTTTGGGCCGTTTAAAAGTAGAGTATGGGAAGGGAGACACAACGGGTTGTATTAATCTGCTATAATGCTTAATTCTGATTTACGAGTTGAACAGTGGTGACAAATCTGAATAGTCTAAAGTACTTGTGATTGTACTTGTGATTTTAATTACTGCACTACCACTGAAATCAAGAAGTGTGTGAAGATAGAAGTATATATAAACAGATTGTTTAATATATGGTATTGACATAGGTGGTATTTTTAAGCCAGTTGTTTAAATTAAGGGTGTAATGATTTTTCTGGCTTCCTGTGCCAAGACACAGTGATGTGTTAGAGAGGGAATTACTGATGAGAGGGTCCTTTTGGGTTGCCCTGTGCTATCGCTTGCCCCTGGCCAGCTGGATCGGTGCTATTTGGGCTTTGTTTCCCTGGGTGATGACTTCCAGGTGGGCTTTTCCCAGCGGAGCAGCCCTGGTTTCTATTTGCAAGGCCAGGGAAGGAGCAGTGCTGCCAGCGAGCTCTCCCCAGGGAGAGAAAAAAAAAGCAGCAGCTCATGGCAAAAATTGGACCTGGAAACAGAAATTGTGCAATTTGTCTACTTGACACTTAAAATTTTTTTTAAGGTTGCGTGATCAGAATGTGATCACATCTGTGATGGTTTTTTTTTTTTTTTTTTCTACTTTGCCCTGTTAGGAGCATTTTTCTTGCTAAGAAGTTTTATTTACCGACAGAAGCGCTCTAGATGTAGCACAGCACAGAACCTTCCGTGTTGGGTGTATTTTCACGTCTGGTTTTGTTCCCTCTCGTGTCCTCTGAGTGCGCAGCCTCGTGGCCTTGTCCTTTCTGAGGCGTTAGCGAGAAGCAGGAATCAAATTGTAGTGAAAACGCTTAATTTTTTTACATCTTGCCACGTTGAAGGGCCTCCCTTTCCCTCTCCTGTTGGCATTTAAATGCCATTGTGTGTGGTTTTTTTTCTCCAATTCCTTTCTTTTGACTCGTGCGTCCCTGCCCTTCTGTGGCATCTTCTCCAGTGCAATGCATGAACCTGCGCTTTAACACAGGGAGTTGTTTCACTTGCTGTGCAAGGGCTCTCCTCTTTGCTGTAAGTGGTGGTAAATGCTTTTAACTACGGGGCCGAGTCCTGGTGCAGGTGCACATGACAGTGTGTGTGTGACACGTGCTCAGTTAGTGCGGGGTTCATGATTGAATGGTCCTTTTTGCTCCTGCAGGCTACAGTAATGGCTTGGCCTTGCATGTGTAAGGACAAAATTTGGGAGGGGTGTGTGTGTGATAACTGCTTCTGCAGGAATTTCCTCCTCCCCCCCTCCAGGGAGGTCTTGGGTTTCCTTTGGCAGAAAGTAGGTTTGGCGTGGGACAGGCCGGAGCAGAGAGGGACCCAGAGGCTTCACCTGAATTGGTGACGATGGAAAAAAAGTTTCCCCCAACCTGAGGTCATGTTGGCACAAGAAAATGAGTTTAAGAAAGGAAGGCACCTGGCACCCAGGAAGAGTTTAAATGACCCCACCCAATTCATATGCTAATTTTTGGAATGTCCTGCAGGTAAGATTGTTCTCAGGGATAGTTTACACACCTTGCAGAATCAATTACTAAAAAACCAGAAAATGAAATGAAAGCCACATCGGGAAATACGCTGTAACCTCTTTGAACCTTACCTACTTACCGCTTGTATGTGTGCACATATTTGTGTTTCTGACTAATGTCTTCCCAACAGATGTAAAAATATTGTGCAAAACAAAGATTGTTATTATTGTTTTTACTGGCTGTATTAATAATTCCTGCACGAGTCACTTGAATTCATCCCCGTTTTCCCCCTTAAAAGCAGGAGGCCTGTGTAGTGGGAATGGAGCAACAGCCTGGAACGCCAAGGTAAGAGCAGATCTTTTGCTAAAGGTAAAGGCTCCAGGAAGCAGTGGCGGGAGGAGAGAGGGGAACTCCTGTAATTATCTGAACTGGCACCACGTAGGATCACATGGGATTGATCCGTGGAGGCCTTTGGCTGGATGACAATCTAAATTTTGAGTCATCTTAGTGAGCACTTAAGGGAGCGAAGGCTCTAATTCTGGCCTCAAACTTGAAATGGAATGTGCTTAGAGAACTTGGTCTCCTCATCCCCTAAAAGGATGCTCTTAAGCATTTAAGCTTTTTAAGCACTGAAGGTTGCCCTTCAATGAAAATGGAATGTTTAAAGCAATTAATTGAGGAATTAATTGCTCTAGGCAATCCTGCTTCAGCAGGAGAGTTGGACTAGATGATCTCTATGGTCCCTTCCAACTCTAAAATTCAGTGAAATTCAGTGAAAAACAGATCGAGGACATTGCTGATGACGAGTCCAGCTCACAGCAGTTCTAGGCATCCTTGACATTCAAGGCTGTAGCTTTCCCAGTTCTTGGATTTTTGATGTTCTTCAAGGCTTGTTTTTAGACAGTGAATGTTAGTTGTCACATGCGTAAATTTCCTTCCAAAGTAAATGGCTTCCTGGCATATACAGTTAAAGTGAGGATCTATTTACAGTGCCTTTAAGTTACAGATCCTCCAGAAAGCTCAAAGACTTAAACTTACGTTATGGGTTGAAATTACTTGTAGTAAACTGTATTATTTTACCATTGCTTTGCTTACGCTGGAAAAGTCATCTCTGTGGTGAGGCCAAGAGCTGTGGTCCGTGGATGACACACCTGAATTTAGTAAGAATCCTATTTCTGTCCCTAAAAAGAGGAACGGGTCGAAGAAGGTAGCCTCTTGCAGTTGATGATCATTAGTTAGTATTTTTGTTGATCCCTGAAGCACTGCCAAAGGCGGGACTGTACCCCAAGCACTGCCACCCTCCTCCTGCCATTTGCACTTTGGTTGCGCTGGAATGCGAGAGCAGAGTTTTGTGCCTTGATGGGTTTTGGTTTTTAATTACTTTGCATAAAAGCGCCTCGCAATCTGTGGATGTTCTAGTATATATTTAATAGTTTTTATTCTGCTTGGCGTGGGTTTACATTGTACTGTAGAATGTGAAACTTAATAGACTGACTTGTATCTTGAATGTAATAAGTTCTTAACTGGAGAAGGCACTCAGGTTCCTTAATGTAAATAAAGTTTTGTTCTATTTTTCAAAGCTATTCTGGACTTCTACATTTAAAACTTACTCCTGTTATGACTAATGGAAAACTGGAGATGTTTCTCTTCTGGTTTGGGGAAGGTCTCCAGGAACTGATACCAGGGTGTAAGATCCCAGAGCTTAAGCTGGAAACTCTTCTGTGGATTCTTAACATCTTTGAGCAGCCTTATTTACATTAGTTGTGTTCCAAACGGGGGAGACAGAGGTGTCTGCAATTGAGGGTAAATATAAAAAAGCATATAATTTTTACCATATCATTTTATTCAACTTTAATATGGTTTCCATTATTAACTTCTAAAACAAAATGATTTCCAGTTTAGAAAACAATGCACTGACCACATAATTCCTTTTCCATTTTATACAGTTATACAAATATTCTAAATACACATTTTGTCAAGATGGTGGCAAATAAGATTTAACTGTACAGTACATAAGGAAAGAAAATATTTTAAGCATATTTAGAAGCAATAGAAATGTCTATACAAAACAAGCAAAAATGGAATAAAATTTTATATTTAAAGTATTGCAACAGTCCCACAGGTTTGTAACAAAAATGTCTTTGCACAGTTCCTCACAATGCCCCATTAATAGCTAAAGCAAGACAGCAATTTTTAGAAAATAATGTTTCAAAATGCTACACATGGTACTACTGCTTGCACAGTCTGATCAAAATAACAATCTACTTGGAATCAAGCAAAACTTAGGAGGAGATATACCAACCGACTTTAAAATTATCTGTATAAAAGTCATTGCACATTATTTTACTCAGTTGTTTGAAAAGTAAAAAAGTGTATTTACAAAATATTTCGCAGACAAAATTATAAAGTGAATGGATAATATATAAGTAACACGTCTTGATACTGACAGTTCAAGAACACACACTAATGGGTTTATCGTTTCAAGAGGTTTTCAGTGCTCCTTCCTCCAGGAAGTAAACTTGACTTCTACTTTGAAATGGATTTACAAGATGTTACACGTAGCTATTTCAACATCAGCATTATAAAACAGTATGTTAGAAACATGAAAGAAAGAAGAAATTTGTACATCTTAAAAAGTGAGCTATTCATAGGTCAACAAATGTATTTGTTTTTTTTTTTAAATTTACTTAGGATAAGCGTTCATTATTCTTCAGATAATAAACCCAACGGTTAAAATGGAAATCCTGGACTAGATGAAAATTGAAAAAGCACCATGCACAATAGTCTTAGTGTGGTAAACACTGAAAAAAAAAATAAAAATAGCACCTGGAATCCTGTAACACAGATCATTTAAAACTGGTCAAGTAGCTGGCGAAGATACGGTGCCTTTGAGAGTTCTCTGCTTACTCTGGAGAGCTTGAAAAGTACAGGACAATTGAGGGAGACGCACTGGATCTGTCGCTCAGAGCAGCCTGTGCAGTTCTTGCATATCTAGACAGCAAACAAAAAAAGCAAACCAGATTATTTTAAACTTAACTCCAGCGAGGCATCCATCACCTGGGACTGCTCAGTGCCCAGCGTTTTATCAGCAGAACAGGCACCACCAGGCCCTTCCCCAAGGCTCCGGCCGCCACCGGATCCGGGCAGAGATCAACAGCCTGACGTACAGCTCGGGCTCCAGTCCTGCTAATTAAGTTCTACTTGTATGTGGTGGCACTTGGAAAAATGAGGTAAATGAGTTGAGCGGATTTAAGCGGGGCAGTGTGTTATATTTGTGATAAACTCATCCTGTCTAAAAGTTTCCTAGTGCAAAAAGACCAACCTGTTACTCTGCACTTACGCTCCATGCAGGAAAAGGACTTAATAAACTACTCCTGTTTCAAGATAAGCTTCAATTAGAGTTTTACTTTCCAAGTCAGAGTTAATCAATTCCAAGACAGAAATGCACAGGCAGGTGGGCTCCACTGCTCTCCTCCTTCATGGAACTACTCGTTAATGGAGTTAATGCTGCTTGAAGGTACTTTGAACATGAGATACCGGATGGAATGAAATAGCAGCAGGCAAAGTTTTCCCCAAAGTAGCTGCCTTTGGAAAACCAAAGGCCCTTACTTTGCTCTTTTATTTTTAATCCTTTCCAGTATCTGCCACCTCCAACAGTTTTTCCAAAAGCTCAGAAATTTGCTAGTGTTTTGTAACATCAAAATGTTACAGTGTTATCCTACTGTTTGCACAGTTTGAACAACAAATCAAAATTGTATCCTTTGCTTTTTAAATTAATTCTTTTCCTCCTTTCCATGTTAAAATCATTTGGGCAGCAGCAACCCTCTCAGCCAGACCTGTATCAGCACTGAATGCTGCAGACCAGAAACTCAAACTAAGAACAGCCAGAGAGGAGCAGCCCCTCTGGGCCAAGTCCCACACCTGGCACCTCCGAGGGGACCAGTTCTGTGACCTGTCCATCACCAAAAGGAACAGGATTTAAATGGTTTCCTCCAGGTTTGAAACCTCTGAAAGAACCTCAGATAAGTCTACCCTTGTTCTTTTGAACGAGGCTGTGGCTGGGTTGAACTCAAGGGACCAAACCAAGTGGTACTCAAGAAACTGAATCACAAAGGTCAGTTGGTGTAGAGGGAAGAAGTCTGTGGCCTTAATCTATGGCAGGTGATTTTTAAAATAATGCATGATTCAGCATTGTATCAGCTTTCTGCTGGCTTTGGCATGTTTATAATCTTGGAGGGCCAAAAATTTATGCTGTGAAGGATATATACATTTTCTTATTAAGATAAACCAGATGTTTTTAAAGAGAGGTTGCCTCATCAAACACTGACTCGAGTGTGACCCCAGGCCTGGCCAACCTGTTGCAGGGACAAGAGAATGGTCTCATCAAACCCACTGATCCTTCCCTGGGGCTGCACCCATCTGCCAAGTTCTGCTTTGTGCCAGAACAAAAGCGATGTAAGAGGTTCAAAGTACCACAGGAAAGCTGCAGAACATGCATTGCCTTCCTTTACTGCCATTTACAATGCAGATCAGAGCAAATATTACAAACTACAGCAAGAAGCAGAAGTCCACACCTTACCTTACTAATGCAATATTTATGAATAGTGAATTGTAATGGCTTTCTAGCAACAGAGCCCCATGGGAGCCTATCAAATCAATGCCGAGACTACAGGAACATTTATATCTCTGCAATTCAGACAAGCCTTTAAAATGATTCACATGCTAGTGCTAAAAATAAATTTTAACAAAAATATTTATTAATTATAAAATACGGCAGTACGAAAATGAGGTGAGGATACGCATCAGTTTCTGCATTCTGCTTTGCTCTAATATATTCGTGCGCACAGCCAGCCACCCTCGTAATTGATTTCTAGCTCAAAGGGAAAAAACAGCTTGGAAAATTCCTATTGAGAGGAAAGCTAACAAGAAAAGCTAACCACTAAAAGCTAAAACACATCCACATTATACATATAAAAAAATAAATTTTCTGGGACAAACATTTTTGTTACTAGAACATCATCAATTATTTCAATGCAAAAAAGGTGAACCTTTCATATTTTTACAACTCTCCATCACTGTCATTATAAAAAGGCACCTACAAACCATGTAAGATACTCTTAGAAAAAGGAAAAGGGAAAGGAGAAAAGCATCTTCTCTTTTGATCTCTCCCTTTGCCTTCGCTTTTATGCACAGCTGCCGTGCTGCCTTCAACAGCAACGGGAAAAGCAAACAAGCTGTGAGGCCTTTAACGCTGGGTTTGTGCTGCCCGTTTCTGCGGAGGGCACTCAGTAAATCCCTGCTTTGGAATTTCAGCCCCTGCCTTTGCCCGACACACATCTGACATCATACCTTGACCAGCTGTTCCTGCTTCCGCTCCAGCTCTCGGATTTCTTGGTTGAGGATGACTGCCACGTGCTGTGGCTGGCTCCTGCACTTCGCACAGATCCCAAACTGGGTCAGTTCGTCACACACAGGACAGTGTAAGGTCGTGAAATACTGGGAGATTGTGCCTTTGCGTCCTTCTAGCTCACTGCGGGCGGTCGAGGCAGCTTTCTGAATCTGTTGAAAAAAATAATTAAGAGGTAATGAACTTTCAAGAGAGCTGCTCGCCTTATTCCTAGATTACATCGGCTGTTGTTTCACGAAGGAGTATCAAAGTGCAACACGGCCTGCAGGGCATGGGTTCACACAAATTATCAACGTGGATTGCGTCACTCTGAAGAGCTAGCACTTGCCCTGAGGTGACAGACTGAACAGACTCCACCCACACCTACTTCCCAGGGAATCTCACCAGAAAAAGAGAAAGAATAACCAAAGGAATCCTCAGTCACAGCTAAATTCCTATCTCATCTCAAGCTCTGCCTCCTGCAGTTGTTCCTCTGTAGGCTCTGATCTCCTGAACATCCAGATGTGCCCTGGCTGCAGCCCCAGCCCGGGGGGCTGAAGTAAACTTACTGAAGTAAATCCAGGCTATATTACAAGTCTGCAGTGGGAAACGTCACATACCACTGTCCTGCTGAAGTCTACACTAAGCACCACAACCAAACTGCTCAAAGCCACCATCTTGCACTGTCCCTTTTTGTCAGGGGAATCACAAACTAAAATCCAGCTATCTAACATTTCTCTTCCTGCATCCCAATGCTTTCTTTAGCTTCTAGGAAAGTCAGTTTAAAATTTCTGTTAATACTGACTTTTTAAAAAGCATTCCTGCTGCTTGGGCATTACCACCTTTTCTATAAAGAGGAAAGATTTTTCAGAACATGTTGGAAAAACAGGAGATCCAACATCTAATATAGAGAGATTTAAAAGGTGGTGCAGCCAGATAGATGCAGCCAGATAGTACAAGTATTGCTAATAAAGACACAGTTACAGCAAAATAAGACACCAAGCTGTGCAGAGCGGTTGACACATTGGAGGGAAGGGATGCCATCCAGAGGGACCTGGACAGGCTTGAGAGGTGGGCCTGTGCCAACTTCATGAAGTTCAACCAGGCCAATGTGATCAACTCTGAACAGAAGGGTTGGCAGGAAAAACTGATTTACTAAGTGGAAAGAAAAATCACACAGAAGATCTAAAAATCAAG